GTAAACGGGGTGAGATATAGATTGGAAACGTAAAACAGGTTGAAAATATAATAACATTACACATATTTAAAGAACGATGAATACTGGAACGTAAACGTACACTAAAATTGGTATACGGGGCAGTAATCGTACACCAACATTGGTATACGTGATTGTAAACCCTTTGTTGACATAAGGCTGTTAAACATAAGGCTGTTATAAAAACTTCATATTTATTTTACAAACAAGCGACAAGCAAGCATAGCACATCGATACTAAATCATTTTTGCTATGCGTTCTGCCGAACATCTAAGATAACAATTTTCACATGTAACAATATAATGCACATTCTCGTGATACACTTCGCACGACGCAGAGTTATCTTCATGAATGAGACTAGGGTACTTGAACTTTTCCTTGTATGTATGTTTATTACGTGGGCAAAATGACCAGAATAAATCTACTATCTCTGCGGCGACTTCAAGAATTTCACGAGAATCATGAGGGTAGTGGTACATGAAAACCATCTTAAGAAGTTTTTTCCCTCTGTTAGGGCGACCCACGCACATTTGCAAAATCGCACAGCTGTAAGTCGCATAGACGTCTGATGGCACGAGCTTATTTAGCATCTTGATGGCGGTGTAGATCTTCTCCTCTGTTGACACGAACCTTATAGCTTTGACCAATATGGCCCGTGGATTTCTCGACGCTAAGCAGCGCAGGAATAAAGGCCGATATACTGCACCAGGGTATATCCGAGATGGTGTGTCATGCAATGTCCATAGGTATGCCGATCTGAGTACTTCCGCGCTATACGCAATGTCTCTACCACGGGTCCCGGCCAGAATAATCGGTCCAAGGTCGATGCAGTCAGACTGAGCAACTTTCTTCACAATGATTTCGAAAATATGATCTGGTAAATCTGGTAAATCTGGCATTTTTTGGGAAGGTTATAGGGTTTGGGTAAGGTTTGTTTAGGGTGAACTTTCTGCGCAATTTTATGAAAGTATATATTGAATTCCATGGGTAGATGTTGTTGAGAAATAGTTAATGGTAAGACAATTAGTGTGTAGTTGAACAGAAGTAATATTACAATAAGTTTGTGAAGTGATGTTTACCAACTACAGAAATTAAAGAAGTAGTTACATTGTTACAACTAGTTAAGTTGTTAGTAGCTACTTGTTACAACATCAATCGTCAAGTGATTTTCACTTAGTTTCCACCTTAAATTTATTACAAAATTAAACAAGCACTTGCAATTTAAATAATTAAACTAAAGTAAATATCTTATGCGCAGAGCCGTGCATTGTAGAAGGCAATACTCGCAGTCTGGTGTATTTGAGCCATCGTAATGGTCATCTACACACTCCGATATAGGTTCTTCTTGTAGGGTGATGGGGAAGGACCAAAGGCTACCCCACGGATCTTGAAACGGCCCCAGTGCGAACTCCCATACGTGACGTATAACGGCGTGCGCTAACAGCTTCATTTCATAAGCCGCATAAGGGACGTGGTGAGTGAATACATATGTGAGGAGTTTTTTAGTCCTTCGTGGACGACCGACGCAAATTTCAAACATGGCACATGCGAAAGTAGCATGTTTATCACATGGGACAAGTCGGTTAAGCATTGTAATCGCTGAATACAATCTTTGCTCACTCACGACAACTCTAATGGCTTCGAAATAAATAGCTCGTGGATTACAGGCGCCAAGACAACGCTCAAAGAATGGGCGGTAACGGCTCCTAGGGGATAAGTCGAGCGGTGAGTCAACCAATCGAGAGATGTCTGCAGAGCGTAACACGTCGTCGGTGAACGCGATGGCTCTTCCACGTTTTCCTGCGCGAATAAAGGGGCCAAGATGATAGGAATCATCCTCAGCTAGTTTCTTTACTATTAACCCTAAAACATCATCGTCTAAGTAGTGCATTGTTGTTTCACTTTGGTGAAAAATAAATTTGATTCGCTTTATTTGTAGACAAGGTGGATAGATATATAAATGTCCTAATTCGTGGTTGGTATACAGATAAGAGCCACTTCAAAACTGCTAAACTGATCCCAACACGTCGCACTACATTATAAATGTAACTACTAGTTTCGGGCACTTTAATAAAAGAGAACTGACCATTATTCTAAAAAATTGTGGGTACAAAACGGGTAGGTGAAATATTTACTAAAAGAGAGTACACTATTATATTATTTTCAACCGTATAATAAATTCTCCACCCCCCAACCACACACCAGTGAAGTCCATATATGATGATTTTGCTTTGTCTTACCAAAACTTGCCTCCTTTCCAGCGAAAACAAACCCTAAACCAAACATAACAAACCCTAAACCGAACATGTCGCTCCCAGACTTGCCTGATGAAATTCTTATCGAAATCCTCAAGAGGCTCAGCAGTGAAGCATTTTGGCGACTCGGACCATTTGTGCGCGCTGGAAAGCGCACCCTCCGGCTTGTTTTCACCGACGATGTCCTCAAAGCTTCCAACATTTGCTGTGTCCCCAACGACATATGCCCTGGAAATGAGAGACGCCCATTCTTTCTGAGATGTTTGGCGAGTGGAAACCCTGAGGCAAGATACTGGGAAGGCCTGAGACTTGCAACAAGGGGCGCAGATCTCATTGCAAGTAGGACCATGCTGGAACCAAATGTTCCCACCGACGCTCTCTCGACCCTGGCGTCCGCCATGTTCAGCGTTTGCTTGGGTGACCCTTGTTTCACAAGCCAAACATTGCAACTGTTGGCAATGCATCACGGAAGTCTACAGTCAGAGCGCGTGCGACAATTAGGTGAAGAGTTAATTCTTGAGATTTCATATTACGGAACTGCATACATGGATACGTACTCAAACTCATTTTCATATCCAACCGACGACGTCATCAAGCTGCCTGATTGTGCATTTGATCATTTCGAACCTGAGATCCGAGTACTTTGCAATGGTTGCTTCATATATTGGTGTGCTAGGCGTATCTGCGAAATGCTTTAAAAATAAGTTTATTCTGTACACCTTTGCAAGTGTACACGAGTATGTGTACATTATATGAAGTGTACACATATATTTCCTTTTTAGTATGTAATGAACAATCTTTGAATTAATATTCCATGATTTATGTTTCATGAAATCGTTGGACAATTTATGCTTCGACAATTTATCAAATCCAAAACATAAAAACCACATAATGATATTAAAAAGTTAATATGAAGTCATAAACTTCCCAACCAACTACACGCTAACAAAATAGAGGTCTTATTTTTTTCCTAAACAAAATACACAATTCAACAAACATAATTAAAAGTACAATTAAGGAGTTTATGCTCCTCCGGCGTGCTCCACCGTCCACGCAAGTGCAATGGTTTCAAAAGCAGCCCTGTCTTCCACGTAAATTCTAGCAATTTATTCAACAAAAAAGTGTCCTTCGCCTAATTGGGGGACAGTAAACATTTGGTGTATTTCCGTCAGTACCTGATTACATATACATGTAAACACTGGTAAGCCCTTATTTAAACGGAATTACTATATTATATTCCCTAAAAGACAATAACGATTTATTTCTTTCATGTGTAAAAATACATCATTGATGCTGTTGTTGGTCCTGAAGTGAGTTGGGTTCAACATCTTCAGAAAAATGTTCCCATAAGTATTAACGTTTGGGTGATACATTTTTGTTTTGAACATCACCTGAAAAAAATCAGTGTTATTAGTAATTGAAATCTTTATTGACTAAATCCTAAACCCTAAAAATACAGCAATTTTAGAGAGCAATCATATGCTTCATTCCTTACCCTAGGTGGCGCGAAAGGGTAGTCAAGCGGAAAGTGAATGTCTACTTTGAAAACACCATTCTCATAGGGTGAACCTTTAGGCTCCGTTATGATAGATTCCCAGTGATACAAGTCCTCACCCACAGGTCCTAATGAAATCGGCAAACCACTAATTAGGTAGACGATGTAAAAGACCGACCCTGTAAAACTAAAACTTAACTAATGCCCTATTTTCAAATTAACCATCAAATACCTGTACTGAAACATGGACTGTTTTTCCTCTCCACTTCCTTCAATTGCAATGAGATCACTTTCGCAGAGTACATGTTTAGAAAGTAAGTAACTTTTGCTGTTATTAACTTTTGCTATTATCGGAAACTTGTTTCCCTGAAGAAGGCTGGGGACAGTTTTATAGAGGACGACCGGAAAAACATTATAAAGTAAAGAAGGGAAACGAGTCGGTCAAACGGTGCTTAACTAGTTCAAAAAAGGTACTTAACTAGTTTTTGTCGTTTCCAATTTGATTTTTTTGAACTCAGACACTGGGATCATTATTGCGATTTTCAAAATTGTAATGACTTGTTTTTTGAAAAAACCGTTTACTCGTGTTGTCCTGTCCTACAATTTCAATTTAAAGACACGATCATTGTCCGTTTTCTATATAATGTTTTCTTTCTCTGCTATAGAACCATGTCTTTGATAATTATTTTGATCTAGAACCATGTCTTTCATAAAGTTTTCTTTCTCTGCTATAGAACCATGTCTTTGAGAATTATTTTGATCCAGATCCATGCCTGTGCTAATTATTTTGATTCCTTTATAAGATAAAGCCTAAAGCCTTCATCGTAAACCCTAAGCCCTAAACCCTAAACCCTAAACCCTAACCCATAATGTCCATAACATAAATTTATATGCTAAACCATATAAATGTAAACTTATACATAAGCCATAATGCAAATACACTATATGATGTAAACTGATTGATGTTGTCCACCATCACAGTGTACACAAACAGTGTCCACCGTCAAGGGTGTACACGCTAGAAAGAAACCCAAAAAACATAGCAACATGTCCACCGTCTAAACCCTAAACCCTGACCAGTAAACATCATAAATTTCATAACAAATTAAACATAGTTCATGCCTTTCCAAGTTTGAATATAGGGAAACATAGTGTACGCTACAAACAAACCCAAAAAACAAAGCAACATCCCCACAAAAAAACATCAAGACACACACAAAAGCCACACCCGGTCAACCCAATGTTTCCTTGCATTTTGCCCGGTTATGGCCGGCATTTCCACATCTAGAGCATTTGTTTGGCTTCTTTTTTTTCGCAACCTGCAATAGCGTATATCAGTAATCATTAATCAGTAATCAGTATCACTGGGAAAAAAATATATGTTTAGTGTACACTAACCTGAGGATACTCTCCTGCTGAAAGTTTTCTCTTCGTCGTAGGCCTTCCTGATGGACGTTTTGCCTTAGGTGGCATAATATTAAGGTCACGCACCTCTGCTGGGATACGAATGTCGTCAGGTCGGGCACTGGTAGGATTTTGCCACTAACTGTTGCACTCCAAATTGATTTCTTAAGAATTGGATCAACCAAACTGCTGTTCTCCACTTGGCGAAGCTTAGCCGCGACCATTGCATGTCGGCAAGGATATTTCAATGTCTGAAACTCTAGACATGAGCATGTTTTGTTTAGGAGATCAACAAGCCTCCGTACACCGAACTCAGAACTCACTTCAACCTCCCACAAAGAAATGCCTTGAACCGAAAGTGCAGCAGATTTTTGCTGCTGCAGGTTCATTAACTTGTCAACCTCTTCTGTAATGTCACCATCCATCTTTTGAATGGTCTCTCTTCTGCATTCAAGCCACCTACTTAACATTCGCCTGATAAATTCTAGCATTGCAACGATTGGACTGTCTCTTGGAGCTAATAGTGCATTGTTCAGAGACTCTGCAATGTTATGGAGGTCATATTATACCTCTGACCAGAAAAGTGTGATCTAGTCCACAGCGCAAGAGGGATTTTTTCCATGTACTCCCAACAACCATAATCAACATCCTTCAGCCTTGCGTATAGTTTCTTGAAATTAGAAACTGTGAACGCTTCTCCAGCCTTTCCGACCAACCCTTTCTGACCGGAACCTTTGTATTTAGCGTGAACATTTCTCTGGATATGGACAAGACATGCACCGTGGTGTGACTGTGGATACCATTTCTTTTTAGCTTTGGCAATTCCACCGTGCCTATCCGAGATAATAGTAAGATTAGAGGAATCTGGAATTATTTCTAACAACTTCTCAAAGAACCACCTCCACGTCTTGTCAGACTCTGCATCAACAACGGCGAACGCTATTGGAAATACCTGGTAATTAGCATCTTGTCCACTGGCCGTTAATAGACAACCCTTATACTTACCAGTGAGGTGAGTCCCATCAACAACAACTACTTGTTTCAAATGTTTCCATCCAGATATACATGCAGCCAATGCCATAAATACGGACTTAAATCTGGTAATACATTTTCCTTCTTTTTCATCTCTCTCGCTCTCGGTTATCAAATGCGTTATGGTGTCGGGGTTAGCATACTTGAGCACATGGAGGTAAATCAGTAATAATTTGAAAGAAGTCTCCTCTGTTCCGTGAGCAGAGTATATAGCCAGCTCTTTAGATTTCTAGCATTTCCAGTACGAGGCTGTAATATTATATTCGGAGAGAATAATCACAGGTAGCTGACTCGCACGTGGCCCAACTATTGCATTCTCATACTTAGACTTCAGCAGAGCCGCCATGACTTTAGAAGTAGCATGTTTTGAAAATTTCTTTTTTTTGTATCCGGGTGGCATGTATGCTTCAAACACGCCTTCCTCACCTCATACAATGCCGACTCGCCAACTTGACACCCCAACACTCTCCAATCACATATCTTTGATGGACATTCGGCGACTGTGTACTTCTTCGCATGCTTTTTGAATTCGAACGTCACTATATTCTTCAGCGCATTGATGGCCAACGTGATTTTAATGTGTTCCTTGTTCCTGAACTTTTTCACAACCCATATCTCTCCATCTTCATTTGACAAATCAAGTTCATCGAAATCCCCTCCCATTTCATCAGAGACTGGTGCCACATCCGTAAATCCATATAGTTCTGTACGTTTAATCGCTTTCTTCAGCTCTGCACCGCCATTCAGACGCCCCCAACTGACATCACCTGTCGGAGTCTGCACAAAATCATCATCATCTCCATGGGGAGCCAGAACATTCTCACATACAGTCCTCTTTCTTCCAGGAAAATGAATAGGACTCTCCGTTAAGACAATGGAGTTGTCCATATGGTTTGAATCACTCGGCTCACTTCCGCGAGTACTTCCACAACCGCCTGAACTACCAGAGTCATCCTTATCCTCATCAAATCCAGGTTTAGAATGGAAACCCTTTCCATCTGCTAGTACGTAATCATTCCACCAGTCAAAATCATAATCCGGATCATAATCATCATCAGAGCCGTGTGCGTCATCGTCAACATCATCAGCTTCCTTCTCTTCCGAATCTCTCGCCTCGTCTGATTCCTGGGACATTTTTAATTCCAACTCAGGGTGGTCATCAGAGACAGCGTGACTTGGAACATCCGGTTTTACATTAACGGAGGTGTTAGTGCTGGCCTTAGCCTCTACTTTCTCTGATTCCTGGGACATTTTTAATCCCAATGGAGGATGGATAACAGAGACAGCTTCAAGTTGTACACCTTTGGAGGTGTTCATAGCGGCCTCTGCCTCTATTTTCTCGGCATGTGCTATCAGCAAACAATCATCGATATCTTCATCATCTGCTTCATCATCGGGTTGACTAGACTCTGCCGAAGAAGAGACTATGAAGTTTGTTGGCCCTAAGGACTTTCGCCGTTCCCTTGCAATTTGAACTTCAAGACTTTCCTTCCGTTTCAATCTCACCATTTTACCATTTACTGACTCCTTGAATGTGACAAATAAATTTACAGACTTGTCAGACTTATGCAGCAAAAGGAAGAATTTGTACTCTCGAGGAGTAACTATTACACATGGACAACTCCCATCACCATTAAGCTCAGCTAGAACATCATCAAACCAGTAGGAAGTCTCCACCGAAACAACTCTCGTGTCTAATCCGAACTCATGCGCAATCAGATTTCTCAAATCATCTGGTCCGGACACATCTTTGCAATTTATGCACCTGCCACGACGAGATATGTCCATTTTGAAATCCCATTCTCCTGTATAGTACCTTATCCACGTTCCCGCCATAACAAGAATGAACGCATTCACTGCAATTCGCGAACACCATATCTATAAAACTACTGGCAAATGGCGAACACCAGACCGAAAAAAATCGAAAATAACAATGACAAATCTATGGGTGTACAATAATAGGATTAAGTAACTAACCGTGGTTGTAGTCCTCTAGATCATCGCATAATTTCCCTTCAATTTCAACATCTTCTGGAAAGGGAAACTAGGGTTTCTAATTTGGTTAGGGTACTTTGTTTCTTATTTTAACCAATTTATCTCCATTATCCCTAATTAACCACAATTTTTGCCGCCAAAATTAAAAAGGGAATGGGAAGGGTAGTTTTTCGTGCAATTACTTGGGTAGTTTCCGGCCCATAACCGAGGTCCAGTTAGGTGGGTTTTGGGAATTCATTCTTAAATACGAAATCAGGCCCAAAAATCGACCCAAACACGCGCGTGAGTGCTCTCTTCCCGGCTGATACGCGCGCAGATGTAGACTACGCCTGGGACCCACGATATTTTCTGTCACTGCCTCTCTCTCTGAGGAACAGACTGCTTTGTCTCTCTCTCTCTCAGAAAGAAGGGTAAGTTTGCTATTATGAAAATATGTCCCTACTCCGACTAATTAAAACTTAAAACTTACTTTTCCTCAAATTAAAACTTAAAAACGTCTTTATTTTCAAAACAACCCTTTAAAAAACCCAGAACATAAAGCTTTTGATATTTCTTGGTAGGTTGCGTGAAGGCAAAAACTTAATGAGTAAAAATTCGCTTAGCAACTATATCAAAAATACTTTCCACCTTAATTTTTAATTATAAAATCTTGACTATTTTGTTTTATTTCTCTAACAATTCTTAGTTTAACATATTGTATTATTATGAATAGTTTGATCACCACGTGTCCTACTTCTGCCTTGCCTAACTCGACTCTTCTCCACCATATATATTAATTATTAAGTTATCAACACAAATTCGGAGTTCCAACCATTTTGGGTTTGTTTAAAAGGAGTTCCAGCTTTATTAGTTGTGTTTGTGTATAACGTAATCTTCTGGATGCATGTTAACTTAATATTGGTTGGTTAAGATAGGTAGAAAGAAATATCATCAGAGTTATATATTATATATGGGAGAAACAATAACAACATTACACATATATTAATAACCAAATGATAATGAGATAATAGTTCTCACTTGTAGAAAAGTTGTGGAAAAGTTGCTCTGTTGATATATATCGCAAACGCGAAACTATCTAAATATTCTCATTTATTCAGTCAAAAATAGTGTCACGCTTTAGATTCATTTTAATTTGATAATCATGTTAGTTACTCCTGTAAAGAGAATGTTTAGATGATAAAAACCTTTTTTAAGATGATAAAAACCTGAATTACTCTTTGTAAAAAAAAGAACTGAATTACCTCTTGTTATTAAAAACAAAAACGAAAATAATAACAACTTTGTTCATTTTGTTGGTTCTAAAAAACACGTTGATTTTTGGTCTACCACTCAAAAGAGCAAACCACACATGGCAATAAATTTCGTTCCATTAATCCAAGTTCCAACTTTCATGGCTTGGACTTGGTTGAAAGTTATTATCTTTTATACGAAATTTTGGCTTCTTTAAGGAATGTTCCCTTGGTTAAATGTTATGATTATAAGATGAAATAGAACATTATAATAGAGGTTACAGTCTTACAGAGTACAGAGAGCCGAAAAGAAGCTCCAAAAGGTGAGTTGACCAGGTTAGGATATTTTGGTAAACACTCAAAAGGTTAAAAATAAAACAAGTAGGTCTCGATTTAGTGGTCAACTGTTCATGCTAATCGGAAATAACCGGTTATGATTGTTTGATTATTCACGTAAAACGACTTAAGAAACAACGATTTAAACTTCTTCTTTTTTGGTTTAAACGATTTCATTTTTTTTTTTTGGTTTTAAACGGTTTTAATTTATTATTTTTTTAAAAAAACCACTACATATCGAAAAATTCATAAATGTTGTGAAAACTTAGAAACTTTATTAATCACTGGAATGTATATATAGAGTACATAGGGAATCTAGGTTAAGTACAATGCCCTGATGGGCCTAATGGGCCGGTATAAGAGTCCATATATGATATGTGTTATAACACTCCCCCTTGGACGAGTGAACCGGGTCAGCTACTCAATCGGGATCTCGATAATGCGCTGGGGAATGTTGCCTCATTAAAACCTTACCAGGAAAAACCCAGTGGGACAAAACCATGGTGAAGGAAAAAGAGTACAACACGCATTACTCCCCCTGATTGTAGCATCACTGCAGATCTCTAAGTCTATACATTCCTATCTGTTTGACGAGCTTCCGGTGTGTTGAAGTAGGCAATGATTTGGTGAAGAGGTCAGCTGAATTCTCACTGGATCGGACCTGCTGAACGCTGAGAGTGCCGTCCTTCTGCCAGTCTGAGGTTGAGAAGAACTTCGGTAGAATGTGCTTCGTCCGATCTCCTTTGATATATCCTTCCTTGAGCTGAGCTATGCATGCCGCGTTGTCTTCATACATCACCGTGGGCTGTGTGTCTTCGTCCATACCACAATCT